GGTGCGGGATACATACGCTCCTCGAAATGTTTGGTTCCTCTTCATAAATGACTCTGAAAGGAGACTCTTTTGTAGCAAAGTGTCAATAGTTAACCAAGTTCTTAAGAATAGAGCTGTTGATGGCTTTACACTCCTTTAGACAGTCATGCAGGATAGTCTTCTCAGATGCTTTTGGACAGAACACGCCCTGTGCAGCCCACATAACCAGCTCTACAACAGCAGATGAATTGAAGGTGGCCCATAGCGATAGTTTATCCTTTATACACCCTAGAATCAATTGTTGACTGAGAAAATAAACTCGAAACTGGGCAGGAAAGGAGGTCTTCTTCAGTGTTTATACAAGATATTCTTCAGTGTCTCTGCCAATGTGTCTCCCTTGAATCCTATTTTGATAAAGTGTCTTCTTTGAAATGCATAAACCTCATATTCCTCTCAGTGAATCTTGTTTGGTAACCATTCTCGGTGAACACTCTTTTAATTACTTCCAGCTCCTCATCTACTGTATCATCCGTACAAATTCTTCTAATTCTTGTGCCTAGTGAATGAATTAAATTTCTCTTCTTGATTAGTTGAACCCAGCTTTCAAAGTGAGTATATTGTCCACTTTAGGTTTGTCTTCTTTAAACCTATCTCCTTAGCGAACCATCATGTCTTTTTATCAATACAAAGCCCAGGAAGTGGAATTTTGAGTTATTTTCGGTTTTTGCGGTAAATTTAATTGATTTGTGACATTCACTAAACTTTAGTAGTGTTTCTTCATGGTTACTATTTTCTTCCCAGATGATGAAGTGTAATCCATGGATCTGTCATATAGATGTAACCGGTTAATCATGGAACTCAGTTAACTGTTCTCCAGACTGGCCATAAGACAATCAGCTAAGGGAAGATCCAGTGTTGGAACCATTACTGCCCTATCCGTTTGTCGATAAAGTTCATGACTGCTTGTAAACTGTAGAATAAAGGTACATCGTAACAGCAATTCCTTCTGAAAATATTTAAAAATCCCAGTTTCACGCTTGTTGATCTCGATATAATCAGGTAGAAAGCAGATTGTTTTCGTCAAAGAGACATTTAGGAAACACAACGTGACGTCTAATGAAAACATACACTCACCACACACAATGACATCTCTTATGCACTTAACGAAATCGAAGGAGTCAGGCATACTGCATATATTTATCTGATTCTTCCCTGGCTGAAGAATTTCAGCTAACCATTTATCAATTCTGTGATACGGTAAATTATTCACGTTACCAACTGTATAAAGAGGAACATTTTTTCTTATGGAATTTGGGAAGACCGTAGAGTCGAGAAATCACTGAGTTGGATGGTTTTAGTCATTCAAGCAGCTCTAGACTGATAATCGATTCGTCTTTCGTCTTCAAAGTTTTTGTTAGCCTTCCTTCTGCTTTTTTCATTTCCATCTTTCTGGAAAGCTTCTTTCGAAAATTTACCTTCATCTGAGAATATAAATGAGCGTTTGTCAGCATAGTCATTGCGATTTATGAGAACTGTGCCAAAACCATTGTTAGGATGAACCAACATCAGTTTGTCGTTCTTCAAAAGTTCATTTACTTGGGCATGATGTCCTTTGGACAACAGTTTCCTAGTATTTAGTTTTGCATTTATGTAATGAAGGCAGCAAATGAAAATCATTGATTTAAATTCCTTAAGATTCTTGTTGGATGTTGGGACTATACCGTTTGTCTTATTCATTAAACTTTTGAACTGGATTTTAGTGTCAAGTTCATTTGGAGAAATCGAAATATCACAGGATTTAAGACCCAGAAAGAGTACTTGCAAATGGAGTGCCAATAGTTATATTATAGTTAAATACATATTCTCTTGAATTTAAATACAGTACCTTAATACATTGATTAAATAGATGAGCAAAAAGCGTTTAGTAAAACCAAACATTTTCATTAAATGGTCATAAAACCCACTTAAAAACTTAAAAAATATTCAGTGACAGCGTGACAGACAATGATGACGACAAACAAACTAATCTAGACGACGTTTCTCATTCTAGATTAACATGTGTGACCAGTGATATTCTCATGATTAGGAGATGGACTGTTTCAGTGTTATTTGCATATTCATTATAAAACATTCCTAAATATGTTCAAACATTTCTATGACTGGTGCAGTCAGTAGTCCTGACACTTTAATTTGGATATTCAGGAACATACATTTCAGTTGGCAGTTGAAGTATTCAAAGTGATTTTTCGTCACGTAACTGAAAACTGAATGAGCAACTTATCTTTTATAGAAGTGGAGCATAAAAAGGAATTCTAATTAGCTTCATTGCATGCAACTGCTCAAGGAAAAACAAGATGCAGATTCACAGAAATTTGAACAGAATCAAAGGTTGAAATGATAACTTTTAGAGGTAGGAGATCACGTGAAATGGAGAGCATAATAATGCATCACAGGAGGTGAACCAGAATCATGAAAACTGTTCTCAAGATATGAAGGTCTGTAAACAGTTATAAGGAGAGAAGTAAGGAAAACTTGTGAACTTTACTCGGCTTTAGAAGGGGATACCAGTGAGAGAAGAAACCCAGTAGGAAACCTTGCAGAAGAAGACGTCAATAGTATGATCATAAGGGTAACGGAAACTAAATTTTAACAAGCGAACTGGTGCAGTGAGGGCTGATTATGCAAATGTGCATAAGTAGTATATATAAAAGCTACTTGCAGGCTTGTTGATGATTAAATTCACTTGGGAAGCTGATAAAAAAGGGATAGCGACACTGTTAATTTCAACATCGCCAGCTTTGTCTACTTACATTTCTCTTCTTGATATGCAGTATTATATGGATTTACATTTCGTTTGTTAACTCCGTTTAATCTAATAGCCTTAATTGTTGAAGTGCATTAACTTGTATTGTCTGTCCGCTATATGAAACAAAAAATAACTAGATAGTAGCGATAAATGTTGCTAAAATCCTATTTCACTAATAATTACTGAGTTGTCGGAATTTTAAATCAATATCATTATTATCACAATATAGAATCATCATACAGTTTCGGTCTGTATAGCTCATTTCTAAACATTTGAAATTGCAACTGAAAATTAACTAATTTGTAGACACGATAGTTTTTTATGTATAGTAATGCAGAACACTGATTACCAGAATCACAGTAAACTGAGATACTCAACAGAAAAATTAACTGGGAATTTAAAAACCTCTGAAACTAAATAGTCTAACGGAAGAATTTCAAATAAATTTTATTTTCATTTTCACAATCGGAGTGGGATAGCCGCGGTTTGGTAGACCAGTATTTATACTAGGTGATGATTGAAGGTGAGATGAAAATTTGGGCCACGGTGGGGTTCGAACCGAAAACTACAGGGTTTCCGGATCATTGGTTGCTGATTCTTATCTCGCCGTGGCCCAAATTTTCGTTTCATCTTCAATCATCATATAGTATAAATTTTATTTCTAATGAGAAGTTATACGAAGACTAAGGAATCATGGAAACGGTAATAGTAGTTATCGGATAAAATGGATTATGAAGAAAGTCTTCATGACTTTACCGGTTTCATTTAAGATTTAAATATTTCCATTGAATCACACAAGAATCAAGACTTGAGTGAAAAAACTTGTTTTCGGTGATATCATCTTCTACAATTGTATAATTGCATTTAAATATAGTGTACATAAAAAATATCAACATTCGTTAATCAATAACTGTTACTAGTTTGTTGCCATGAGAACAATATAAGAATGGAAACTAAGTAAGAAATATGAACTGGAAACACTAAAAATTAAGAAGGGAATAAGGACAGGGAATTGCAAAGTCACTTCTAGATAGACAGTTCCGGTTCGGATTGTTGTATTGCTGAAGCTGCACAATGCAAAGTTAACGTTCCTTCAAACCTTTCAAAAGGTTATGTTGCACTTTGTAAACAAGTTCAAACAAATCTTCTGGAACTGTGTCCGCTGCCAACCGAATGCTGTTATATGAAGCTGTTAATTAACCTGCCTTCACCTTTACTGAACCATGCTGGAAGGTGTTGTTAGGTAGATAAAAAGAATTAATAACCAAGGGTATGTTCCACAATCTACTGATACACAGAGCGAGAAAATCGGAACCAATGTTCCCAGATTAATATACGGGATAGTCGACACTTTATTAACACACCAAAATCATTCAACTCATGACTGACAAAAAAATACTTCGAAAAAAATTTCTCACTTTTGCCAAAAGCCACTTCAGGTTGGTATTCATCATAGAATGACATGAAAGCACTGGACAGCCGTTTCTTCCTAGTATGGGACTCATCAGCAGCGCACACCAATGACCTCGCAAGGGATCGGACCCAGCACCTTCATGTTCCACAGCCAGCACGTTACCGTTGAGCTATGGATTGGAAGTCAGTGGTCCATATTTCCTGCTTCAAGATATAGCATGATTTCCATCTGTCATCGTTAAGTAACTGTCGTGACCGATGAGGCTAACCAAGTCGAACATTAGGACAGTTATTCATTGATGGCATTAGATGGAAATCGTGCTATATCTTGAAGCCGGAAATATGGACCACTGACTTCCAATCCATAGTTCAACGGTAACGTGCTGGCTGTGGAACATGAAGGTGCTGAGTCCGATTCCTTGCGGAGTCATTGGTGTGCGCTGCTTATGAGTCCCATACTGGAACGAAACAGTTGTCCAGTGTTCTCAGGTTTCTGATGCTTCTCCAACTGTCATTCCATGATGAATGCTAACCTAAAATCAACAAATACATCTTAACAAACCTCAAAATTGAAAAATGTTATTTCCGTTTACTCCTAGATGAATTAAAACGTGAAAATACGTATTGTTTAGATACGTTATTTCAGGAGTATTATTTGGAACTAGTTGAGTAAAACGTTGTAAACCTGATTAATTTTGTGTTTTCAATCAGTGAATACATCTAACTGTTTTTATAATGAACCATATGTTCCCATAAAACAACATAGATTTCTTCCTAAATTATTTCACTTATTATCAAACAGATTTCTTCACCAACCGACTTATCCAACTTTGACAGTTATTCAGAAGAAGAAGACTTGCCTCCAGAAGACTTAACCGGTTGGGATGAAGACTTCTGAATCACTGACAGCTAAATTCATCATCAACAAATAAACTTAACCAGCGTGGACGATAAAACAACCATTGGACCACAACAATGGTAAGATGATTAAACAAACCTCCTTCCTCCCTTCATATTTCCTCCCACTTTGTAATCTAAATAAGAAAAACTGATAACAAACATCAATAATAATAATAATAACAATAATAATAGTAGTAATGAAACGATAGTGAAGATTCAAGTGACAAGAGATATTTTCTTTTGGCTGATATTTTTATTTTATTTTTGTTTCCATTATTAATATTATTATCGTCAACACAGTCTTGTGAAATTGTACTAATTAGTTTTGTATTTTCTTGACAAATGTCAGAGAAGAAAGTATATAAGTATGCTTATTTCTTGACACTTTCATAAAACTTGTTTTTATGCACAACCACTACCGCTACTGATATTAGCAATAGCGGTGCTAATACTATCATAAGCCCTAATCATAACAAAATATTCATTTTGCCTAGCTGAACATGTTCATTTGAATAAAGAAAGAAAACTTACATCAGTTATAGTAAGCATTACAATTTTATATTTCCTAAGCAGTAGCATTAACAGTACACCAAACAAGTGTAAGTTCTAGCCGAATTAGCTAAATTCAAAGTCAAGAAGAATCGGACACAGAATATTAACAATTCAGATTATAGATACCTATCATTCTAGAAAGTAACCCTTTGGCTAATCTTACTAAACACTCGACGTAATGATGAAGATGGAGCAGTCAGGTGACCACTGAATATAGTTATGAAGTTAGCGAATGCTTATGGCCTGAGGTTTTAGTGCACCGTCTTGGCACCAAAATAGTCCTAGGTTTGAAATAAATAAACATTTAAAATATATGAGTAAAAGCTAAGTAATCTTTTACGATGGCGTTGAGTGACTTTAGCTCTCTAAGTTTGTTTTCGTGTACAGGCATCCACACCTTGACGTTCGCTATTTTTTGCGTTTTCTTTATTCTGGTCGGCAGCCACTAGCTCAGAGTCCCTAGCTTAGACATTAACAGAGAGATTAGTTAACTTTCTTCCCTTAATGTAACCACTTATTCTCTGACGAATAAATAAACTGTTTTTTCTGATTTCTTAATACAGTATAACTTGTTTCCCAATTTATTTTTTGTTATGAGTACCTACATGTTGGTAAGGTGCTGATTGGTTGTGCACTGGAGCACATTAATTTATGGAAGTTGGTCAAATGTTGGATAACAGAAACACAACAGGACGCATCATAAAAGGTGGTAACATGATTCTAGCTTCTAATGAGCGATAATCTAATTTAGAACTCATTGAAGCATTAAAAAAATATTGCAGATAAAAAGAAAGGTATGCAAATTAAATCACTATGATCTGTTTATTTATAAAATTTTAAGGTGACAATATGCTTGCTTTAGCTAAGTCAGCTCAATTTAGCAAAAGTTTGTAAAAAAGCAATCGCATGTGTATTGCTAACACTAGCAGAAGGCAGAATCTCAGTCGCTAATGTAGAACTGTATCTAAATTGTTGGTATTATAGGTCAAGACTGATCACTGGTCGTAAAACCCATGTTTCTGATGATTTGAAACTGAATTTAGCAGACAGGAATTAAAGTAGTGCAACTCATCTACCTTGCACAGATATATGTACTAAGCTCCAAGTCAAACTAAATGTCTAACGGCATATAAAATTTAACGGTTTCAGAGGGGTTGAAATAGCTGGAACAAGAACTGAAATTTGGGTACACAAGCCAATGAGCTATAGCTGAGTTAGGTACGTAAATAGTGATCGTCAATAGGTTGACATGTAAGTAGCAATCATTAGCAGTTACTAAGAGAACACAACTATGAAATATGTAATATAAACAAAATTCAGTAATAAATACACTTGGTATACTACAGTCTCGCCCTGGGTCTTTAGGTGATTGAAGAGTAGGTCTATAATAGTGACAAGCTGGCAATGTGATGTCAAGTGAATTATCACACTTTTGTATGCACCATAAAAGGACATTACTATGACTTGGAATTTCAGAGCTTTAATTAAGTGGTTCAGCCTGTCAGTTTGGTATCAGGTTCGGATGGTAAGAGTTTCAGTGCTCAGCTCGCAGGATGATTAGTCGGAGAAATGGTACTTTATCTGCAGAATAAGAACAGTTTGAGAAAACTGCGGAGGAGATGACTTTAGTTATTGCTATTAACGAAGACAAGAAGATATGGAGCTGAAGTAAATCGGCCACATGCGCATTATGTATATGTGTGCAGTTCATACTTTTTGTATGTGTGAAATATGAGATTCCGATGTAATTGAAACAGAGTAAAGTGACCACAGAGACTAAAGGACACTTACTTACCACTAGTTACCCATAGCCTTTCCAATTTTTTTTTAATTTCAAAGAGTATCGCTTATTACCCAAAGCCCTTGTTGTCGGTAACAAAAGCTAAACAGTAAAGCGGAGTGCATGCCCTGCCTATCCCACTTACGTGAGTGGGTAACCACGTCCTAGAATGGTATTTGTCCGGATGAAACACCTTACCATTGTCACACTTATATCCAACAGTGACTGAGCATAGCTCTCCGACCCCAATTAAAGTAAACCAATCATGCAGTGACATTTGCAGATTTCGGTTCCATCACTATCCAGCTCAACTTCTTTACAAGCTATCACCTCCGTGTATGAGATTTCCGTCCAATATAACGCCACTGTCATTATAATAGGCGAATTCAACCACCACATCAAGGTAACAGCTATAAGTTATAAATACATATTGTATTAGTGTTTTATACCAAGTTAGCAAAGATGGGATATCTTTCCTTTGACTAAACCTTATTGCCACTTTTATTTTCACTACAGTTTTCCGTTTATCTAGATTGTGTGCAGCTGAAGTAGGTCGATACATAATGACTTATGAAGCCTGATCTTAATAGATTATGAAAGTTATGTTAAAGCAGCTGTATGCATCAAATCTGTATACATTTTTTAAGACAAAGGTTTGCTTGTGAAGTTAAGTCACTAACCATGTGGTTCCGTTATTCCTTGACTGCATTTTCTTCTCAGAGTTTGTAAGAAAGATATTCCACTTCACCCAATGTTTGAAAAAAACTTGCTGTATCATAGGATGGTAAGTTAGTTGACCGAAATTTATCGGGAGATGAAGAATCAGATCAAATATTATATTACGCTTGATTCATTTGAGTTTACTTATTCGATTAGCAATGTCAACGTGCGTGGAAAGTGTGTGTTAGCTTTAAATATTGTATTATTTCACTCTTCACAGACGCCCCGTTTGACAAAACAATCTGGCCTTCATGTAATTCTATTGAGGCCAACAACTTTGGAGTTAGAACTCCAAGACATCTAAACGAATTGCTCTAACGATACACATATAATGTGCAACTGTGACTTAATATTAGTTCTAATGGATAGAAGAATGGAACATAATGGGTTAACCATTATGTCTTCCCTTAGCTGACTGCTTCATGACTAGTCTGGAGAACAGTAAACTATGGACCTTTACCGACCACTTCAGTTTATATAAGAGAGGAATGGGTGATGCTTTTATCATTTGTGAAGTGAACAATAGCTTTGAAGCTATACTACAGAAGTTCAATGAATGTCACACGGCAACTATATTTACTGTGGAAACTGAGAGCAACTCAACTTGACTCATTCACCGTTCTGTTGAGAAGAGGATATCATGGTTATCTCAGAAGATTGGCTTACATGAAGGAAAACCTGAATGGAAAATATGTCAGTTTTAAAGTTGGGTTCCACTAGACAGAAAAAATCTAATTCACTCACTGTGAATAAAAGTTAAAAGAGATTATGCATGTGACGCAGTAAATAAAGAGCTGAAAGTATTCTAGAAAGTCCTCACAGAGAACATTTATCTCTCAGGATTCATTAAAAGGAAGCTGAAGCTTGAACAACACCAGAAACGAACCGCTACAGTCCCTAGAAGACACCATTTATGGAGGTTAGCATAGGATTTGAGTACTGTGGTAGAGTAGAATGTCATATTAGATTAGTGTATTTCGCGTAGCACACAGTGATATGGTATCATTTCCTAGTGAATAGTGCTGTGTTATATCACATAGACTAATCTAATATGGCATTATACTCTACCACGGCACGCAAATTCTAAGCTAACTTCCATAAATAGTGTCTTTTAGGGAACCGTCGTGGTTCGTTTCTGGTGTTGTTGAAGCTTCATCTTCTTCTCAATGAATCTTGAGGGATTAATGTTCTCTGGGGAAGGAATTTCCAAGAATCACTTGTATAGAGCACAAAGGAAAGCTTTCCTACACAACTCCAGATTGTGTATGTACCCTAGTCAACTACTGATTTGATGGTGGGTGAGGTATAGATTATTGATTTGGTCCACCTCCATATGTATCTACAAATTCACTTGCTCCTTTGGAGTTGGTTATATAGGCCATGTAAGCGTGATCTGTCAAAGCACATCTCCGAACATCAGAGGGAATGAGTGTCTGAACAAGAGTAAAACTCAATCAATAGCTCGATTTATCATTTGCTTAACTCTGGTCAATTCTGCCCGTCAGAATCCTCCTTTAAAGTCATGTGTACAATCAATATAAGCATTTTGAAGGAGTACAGACTCTCTAGATCAGCATAGTAGAAACCCCGGGAATTCATCAGTTTAAGTCTGATCTCAGTATTCAAGAAAAAATACATCCAATCTCTAGTTCTACCTCCGTCATAATCTTATGACTTTTTTGATTCTAGTTATCAGTACTATTATTCTGATCTTCTTTTCTTTATTCTGTAAGTGTTAATTTCAATATTACCTTCTCAACATTCTTACTTTTTGTTTTACTTTGGAGATTATCATACAATCAACCTCTAATTCTAGAAACCATTTAACAATACCTTCTAAAAAAGACCTTGAGATGACCTTTTGATCACCATCTCATAATTCTGGAAACAATTTTCTGATGACCTTCTGTTAATCTATTAACCATTGATGGATATATGTTTATTTTGTAACTACAAATACAAGTGGTGTAGCTTCTGAAAACGACTAACTGCAAATAAAATTTTTATCGTTGCATTGTCCTTTGGTTACATTTTTGTCACCTAAAATTCACCAAATGGTTCAGACACTTTTCAAGTAGAATTCAGTTAAATAATTTCAAAAAATAGTTTTGGGTGCGAACCAAATCTTCAATTCAACATCCAACATTGTTCATGCTTTCGACAAAAAACAGTCAGTCTTCTAACATTTTTTTATTCCCAAAACTACCTTTGTTTCATTGAATTACTGAAAGGTAATAGGAGTCTATATTTTTTGTGATGATTGAACTAGTAATTCTTAATTTCCATATAAAAGAAAAGGCAAATAACCTATGGCAACAGTGAAATTATACTGAGCAGTTGTGCTCAAAACTATTTTGACAAAAGTAATCCACGTTAACTGGTTAGGGGGAATTGTAAGAAGCCTGGACCTAGGTTTTGG